AAAAAATATTATAAAAAATAAAAAATATTATAAAAAATAAAAAATATTATAAAAAATAAAAAATATTATAAAAAATATTATAAAAAATATTATAGAGTATTGTAAAAATAAATAGGTAAAAAAATAAATATAAAAATGAAAAGTTTATTTTATATTCTTTACCTTCAGGACAAAGTTTAATTGTTTTATGATCTTCACAATAATAACCTGCACAACAATAAACGGGCTGTGCTATTTATAGAAAAATTATTTAGTAAAGTTATTTGACGAGCGATACAAGAAATTTAGATCAAGAAAAATTTTTTTTATAATACATACCACCTATTTAGATATATTGGATGTAATTTCAGTGTTATGTTTTAGTATTTAATTATTTGTTAAATTTATGAGCGTAAGATAAAAAATTAATAATTATACTAACTATTTTCTGGACAATAAAATCCATCAGTACATGGGAATCTTGATGTATTACTCGGACCGAAACAATAATATCTATAAGGGAATAATAAAGAAGTTATTAAAATAAATAAATTAAATTTTAAAATAAGATCAGAAATCTTTAATTCTTTATTTACCCAGCATCGCAGTCCCAACTGACGCTTTTATTTTCGTAAGGACGTGGTGTGGAAATATAATAACATTCATCAGAAAGCTGAAATATTATTTTAATTTATTTATAGTTTAATATTTAAAATTTTAATTTATAAAGTCTAAAAGGTTTATCGTCATTTAATATCATCATCATTTTTTTTTTACCCTAGTTCCATTAGCATTTTTTTTTGAGATTAAAGCAGCGTAAACCCGAGGATCCAAATAAGTTGCGTAAACAGATGTATTTTGTCCATTTGTATTAATTACTACTTCTGTAGGAACCGTCGTAACCGTCGTAGACGTCTGAAAAATTTGGCATGATATTTTATTTGGAAATAAAAAAATTCCCAATAAACAAATTATCATAATCATCCATTTAGAAAAAATAATTGATTTCCTTGTCATTTTTTAAAATTTTTTGTTGATAAAAATTTGATCTATTATTTAGTTAATAATCTCTCTATAATTGTAAACAGTTATTGTAATTATAATATAATATTATCTATAATTATTCATTTTTTTTTTCTTTTAAATATATATATATATTTTTTATATTTGAGCTTCTATTTAAATTTTATCAACCTGATTATGGTTGTAATAAAAAAAACGGAGAAAAATGGTTTGCTTTATACTTTTTACATAAAAATAGGTCAAGTTCTGTATGAATCTGAATTAGTTTTTTAAGTTAATTGTTATCTAACGGTAAATAAAGCTTCCGATTTTTTTTTTACAAAAAAAGTGGTACATTTATATGCAAACAACGCATATTAGATGTCCGATCAAATCATGATATTGTAGTGGCGAAGAAATTCCTTTTTATTGTTGTTATATAAATAGTAATTTATAAATAAATAATGTATTAATAATAACAAGATGAATAATAACAGGATAATAATATAAATAGTAAGTAGTATCTGATAATGTATTAGATATAATAGTAGTATAAATAGGCAACTGGATTAAAACTTGATTAACAGTAAGTATATATTGAATATATTAATATATTACTATAGTATTACATATACAACCTTAGTTAAAAAAAAGGGTTTAATTCATTACAGTATTATTACAGTATTATTACAATAATATTAATATTATTATAGTTAGTGTATTTTATAAAAGATAAACTACCACCCGAAAATTTTTAAATAATGATTTATAAAATGAAATCAATGATATATATGACATATTGATAGAATTTGATCACAAGGTTTCATTTTCTTATTATAGTTTTATGAATCAGAAAAAACTTGTTTGAAATATCGGGTAAATTTTATTTCCTATTTAGCATATATTTATATTAAAATTTCCTACTTAAATTTAATATTTATAAAAGTATGATATTAAACATTACATTAAAGCAATTCTTATTAAATATATAAAAAAAATATTGAATTGTGTAATCTTCACCTATGGAGTATAAATTTACAAACATTTAACCTTAACTCCTTAACTCCTCTTAACTCCCCTTAACTCCAGCTTTAAGAAGTTTTTATGAAGTATAAATTTAAATAAGTGTTGTTAATTTTCACCAGATAGGAAAAATTACCCCCCAGATTAGTTTTTTTTAATAATACAGAACATAAAACATAATAATATTGTGCATGTAACAATACAAATGAATATTGTATTGCTATTATAATAACTTGATAATTAAATCAAATCTTATAATAAATATGGGAGATATTCTTTTTTCAGATTTCTCTTTCGTATTCTACATCATAGTTTTTATATTAGGTTAAAACTTTATTCATTGGATGAATTATAAAGTGTTTGCATGTTAAAATCCTCCTATTATATTTGATTTAATCTTGCTTTTGTTTATTGATATTATTATTACTTACTATCCATTTTAAAATCATTTCTGCGTGAAAGTGATTTATTATAAAAGAATAATTTAGAAGAATATATCATTAGATTCCATAAAAAAAAACCTTTGTTATGTAATATTGTAAAACTGAATTATCCGAATAATTTAATTGTATTAAAATCTTCCAATCTTTAAAAAAGATCAAAGTGCGAATCATGATTTCTCATACAATTCCTGGATCAACTTTAAAATAATCTTTTATTATTTGCTATAAAATTTTTTTTTCGGTTTTTATCCCATTCAAGAGATGATAATGTGACAAGGCGATCTAACTATTAAATCAAATTCTTTCCAAGAATAATATTCAGGGAATGAATTAGTAATCTTTGATTCAACAAGTCGATTCAAAATGCAACTTAATGATTTCAATTTGAATCATCCATAATTTTTATTTTTATACAACATAACTTTAAATAAAATAATGATTTATTAATGATGATATAACTTAATAATAATTCAAAGAGAAGAGGAAAAAATAAAATTTACCAAAAGAAGAATACAATGAATAATAATTCAATCTTAATACAATTTTGAATCAATTTTAGCAAAGTTTCAATTTATTAGATTATATTATTAGATTATATTATTATTGTTCCAATTATGATTATCTATTATCTTTATTATACCAAATTAACAAATTGATAATAACATTGGATGTACACATGTAATCTGATTTGGAATCGGTTCAATTATCAACCAAATTCCGAAACCAATGAATTTCTTCTCAAGATTATCAAAAAGTGAATGCCCGCCATAGATTAGCCTCTTTAATATATATATTATTATTAAATCAATATCTTCATATAACAGGAAAAACAAATACAAACACGTTTTTTCGATCGACAATACTTGAAAATAATGTTTATTTTCTGGAATTTTTTTTTTTCAAAGAAATTTCACCATTGTCGTTTACTTACATGGAAATTAGATTGTACGCATTAATTTTAGCCATTAATTTTAGTAAACTTTTAAGATATAAATAAAAGAATGAATAAAATAAATAAAATGAAAGAAAAAAAAAAGAGAGAAAGAAAGAAAAGTAGAATATTGGGATAACAATTACTTAAATATGTAGAAGAAAAATAAATTCAGATAACATGTTTTACATGTAAATAATTACTGTAAATACTATAAATATTGTAAATACTGTAAATATTGTTCGAACATGTGAGAAAAATAATCGAACGTTATCAATTATATATATGTATATTAAAAAAACTATCAGTACAAAAAGTTCTTGAAAAGAATTAAAATAATTACATTGCGAATTGAGAATCCTATTTTTTTTTTTTTGTTGTTGTTGTTTTTTCTTAAAATATCAAGAAAGATTTTGAACATTACAAACAAAAAAAAAAAATAAATAAATAGAATCAGACAATTCTCGAAGAAATCAAAATATTATTACAATTATGAAAGTCAAAATAATATAAAATTAACAAAAAGGTCCAAATATTAACAAAAAAGAAAAAAGAAATAATAATTAAATAATTTATGTTCTACGAGTAAAAATAAAATAAAAAATAAAAAATATTAAATTATTTATAGATTGGAATCACCAGGTAAGTAAAGCTAGAGTTAAAATATACAAAAGCCGGAGATAAAGTAAAGAAACACGAGAATTAATTTTCCTATAAAAATATAATAAAATATAAAAACATATAAAATTTAAATTTATTCTTTAACAAGAAAAAAGTGTAAAAATGGGAATTTAAAATAATTTAAAATAATTACCAACTGTAGCGGAGGTGAATTTGTGGCTTTTAAAAGTTTATTCAGTACAGTTAAAGAACCTTCGTGTCCACTTTCTGCTGATTTCCTATACCAATATATTGCTTGATCAATGTTCTTCTGTGTTCCTTTGCCTTTCTCATAACAATCGGCAAGAAAATGCATTCCAAGTTTATTTCCTTGTCTCGTTGATTTTTTATAATAAGTAAATGCTTTGTGAATATCTTTTTCTGTACCTTTTCCAAATTCATAACAATAACCGAGCCAATTTAATCCATTGGAACATCCACCTTCTGCTGCTTTTTGGTACCATTGAAAAGCCAATTTTTCATCAGTTTTTGTACCCATACCTGATGAATAACATTCACCAAGTAAATATTGTGCGATAGGATAATCCCTTTTTGCCGCAGCAAGGTATGAAATATAAGCCTTTCGGGTTTCTATTTCCGTACCAATATCATGAAAATAAAAATAACCCAAAAGCGTTTTATATGATAAACTATGTTGATTACTGATCAACCATTTTAAGACTTCATTTGCATCTTGATTTCTACTTTCAATACAATCTAAAATTAGCTGCGTAATTCTATTATCATCTGTTCCAAGTTGTTGTGATTCAACGAAAAGGATTATTAATTCATCAACTAATTTTTTTAATGCATCCTGTGATTTACGATTAGATAAGGTAGATAAAGGTTGAGGATTTGAAAGTTTCCTTAACTTTATAGAATTTATTGAATTCTTTGAAATATCGTTATGCAAACGAACTGAAGTTGTGGCCGTCATAGTTATTATTAAAATATAATAATAAGTATGAAAACTGTAGGGAATCTTTTATCTTAACTTTATTCTTTTAATTAATTATTGGTTTTAAAATTTGATAGGATAATAAAAAAAAATTTTTTAAATAAGTTTAAATTTTTGATAGAATAGTATTCAAAGCAAAATATTACTAATATTTTAAATATTTTAAAATTAAAGGCTCAGATGAAAAAAAAAAAAAAAAAAAACTCGAAAAACTGGATAAACTGGAAAAGGATAGAATGAAAAAAAAAAAATCCTGGTAATTCGCGCAGTATGAAATATTGAAATGCTTAGTTTAAATACTCGTCGGTTCAAGAAAATGGATTACAGTATTTATTGTTTATTTATTTATTACATTATTTAATTATACCTTCTATGATTCTTACGACTGAGGTGATCCGAATATCCACAACTACAGAACTAAAACAAAATTGTGTAATTCATGCTAACGTACAAGATAAATTTATTGCATAATTTGATGTACACGCGAAATAATTAATATAATACAAATTAAGGGTAATAATTATTTAGAGTATTAATTTAGAATATTGGGTATTTACAATTATAGTATAGATTTGACTCAATTAAAGTTTTTATAATATTGAAAGAAAATCTAAAAATAAAAATAAAATTTCGAGGAAAAAAAGTCTCTTTGATTTTACAAAAATAGATAAATTTATCGGATCAAATAGATGAATTGGTCACTATGACGAATTTAATTTGAGAGAAAAAAAAATTTTTTTTGGGGATGCGATACATACATATTATAAATTTTCCCTGATCTCGGGGGCACAGGAGAAAAACAAAAACAAATTGGATTAAATATTTAGAACATCTAATGGGTTTAATAAATGTACGTGTTCATAAATTATTTGTCTTAAATGTCGCACACGTTTACTAAAATTATTGATTAGTAACCCACTTTTTACTATCAAAAAAAAAAAAATTATTTCTCTCGCCACTGATTCCCACAGATTACACTTAATTTTTACTGATTCCCCTGCAGGAGAGACTAAAATTATAAAACCACAGAAAAAAAATCATATAAATACCAATCACACGAAAAATGTTCTAATCTTTTTAATAAAGTGAAATTTTTGTATGATATCAAAATTTTTAGTGGATGAAATTTACTCATTGTTAAGATTTTGTTTTGGATTATTTTTATTTTCCATATTAGTTTTTTTCTTTTTGTAAAAAAGAGAACTAGAGTTTTCTTATTATTTATTATATTTTTATTAATTTGCAGAACTTCAAAACCATATAGAGGTTGATTGTTGAGGAGACGTTCAACAGAAATTTACATAAATAGGATTGGTTTTTTTTACACGAACATATAATAAGTACAGAAATTTCAGGGTATTTCAGGGTCCATCACATAAAATAAATACAAAATAATAATTTCTATGTTTACCAATTAATTTTTTTTTTTAATTTTTTTGTATAATTTCACAAATTTTTTGACATTTATTATTCGGTTGGTCGATTCTCTGTAACGCAAATAAATAAAAATAATAAACAAGGACCAATTCACGTGAAATTGCTATTAAAGAAATATAAATATAATTGAGTCTGGCTTTGTAAAGTTAAATTTAGAATCTTGCATAAAACATCAAAAAATATCAATATCCGATTTTTAATGAACAAAGGAAAAAATTCACTAATATTTAGCAAGTAATTTATACGGGAAAATTTATAAAAGTTAAGGAACCTAAAACTTTAAAAAAATTTTTGGGAAACTATACTAAATCTTTTGATTGGCGTATAATAAACAAACACCAGATTCTTAGTGATTAATGAAAATACATCATCTTTGTTTTTCAATCGTACAAAATTATTGCTTAATTTCTTTCTTTTATTCTAATATTTGTATTTAACCTTTTTTGTGGGTTCTACTTTTCGAATTGATCCTTTAATCTCCTTCACGTGAACGTAGGTTAAGTCATGTGATTAATGCACTAAAGTTCTCTGCCACGAAATTTTTTTTTTTTTTAAAAATCTGAAGTTGCTACACCAAGCCTTTATCTGGCAATTATATAATTGTGATGAATTCTGAATGTTTCTTTTTCCTAATATATTCTTTAAAAACTTGTGATCGCATGTTAAAGTTCCGAGTTAGAATGCTTTTCACGAGATTAACTCTGAATAAAACATAAATATATGGTAAATCTCGAAGAGCGTTTCCTTTTATTTTTTTTCATTTGTTTAATTTTTTTATAAATTCCATGAAATTAAATATCATAAGTCTTATTAAATTTAAAAGAAAAATGTCAACTTATTCTTTTCATCGAAGAAAAAGCAGAGCTTATAAGGCAAAAACGGGTTCATTAATTTCATCATTTAATGGATTCGCAAGATTTGGAGAAGAATCTATTGATTATGGAGAATGCCTTGATTGCGGGAAAAAAAATACTGGATTTAATTGGTGTCAATCATGTAACTCGAAACATTTTCGTAATTGTTTTAAACAATGGTCAAGTGGAAATCGGGAAATTGATAAATTTATCCGAAATTCGCAAATTTTTGCTACATCAAGAGATTGTGTTTTGGATTGGATTCCATATAATCAATTAACTTCATTCAAAATTATTGGGAGAGGTGGATTTGGAATTGTTCAAAGAGCAACATGGTTAGAAGGACAAATTGATCAAATTATTGGATGGAATTATCTTCAAAGAAAATGGGAAAGACATGGTAGAACGAGAGTTAGTATCAAGGTATTAGATAATTCTCGTGACATAGAAGTAGATTATTTTCATGAGGTAAAAATATCTGATAATACTACTATTAAATAAATCATAATTTAAATTAATTAATTAAATAGCATTTGACGTCTAATTTTATTTTTAGATGATACCAATTTTTCGAACTAATCCTTTATCTGAAAAATTGCCATTTCATCATATTCGATACCTAGGAATAACCAAAAATCCCAAAACACAGAAATATGCAATTATAATGCAATATATAGAACAAGGAAATCTTCGAAATTATTTAGAAAAAAATTATTTCACGATAAATTGGGAAAGAAAATTATTTATATTAAAATATATTGCCGAAGGATTAAAAATTTTACATGAAGTAGATAATATTCATCGTAATCTACATAGTGGCAATATTTTATTTCATAATCATTTACCATTAATAAGTGATACTGGAATGTGTCGTCCCGCGAACAAATTATTTCAAACCGATAAGAAAGAAATATATGGTGTAATACCTTTTATGGCACCTGAACTCTTAAAAACAGGAAAATATACTAAAGAAACTGATATATATAGTTTTGGATTAATAATTTGGGAGATTTGCGCACATCACCCACCATTCAATGAACGCCCTCATGACACTAATCTAGCAATGGATATTTGTTTAGGAGAAAGACCACCAATTCCGAAAGGTACACCAAAATCATTAACAACTTTAATTAAAGGATGTTGGGATGCAATACCAGAGAATCGACCTTCAGCTGTTGAATTATTTAATAATCTCAACTCATGGTATTTGAATTTATCACAAATAAATCGAACGGAATATTATTTTGAATTTAAATTAGCTGATAAATTGAGATTAAAAGGATTGAGTAAATGTTCAAACCAACCTTTTGTAAAGAATCATCCTGAAGCTTGTTATATAAGTCGTTTATTAAAATTTTCTAATCTTCCCGAACCAATCAATGATCTATTTGGAGACGTTAATTTATCACTTGAAAATTTTACGCGTGGTAAATAATAATCATATCGAAGAATATTATAAGTAAATAAATTTACATATTAACCTAATTGAACATAATTCTTTTTGTATATCTCAAATATATGATTTCTATTCGGTACGAAGATGCGGGTAATTATTATTTAACAGTTGTCAATTATTATTTTTTTATATTAAATAAATCGACATAAATAATAATAATTTTTTTTTTTTTAAAAAAAAAAATCGTTAAGGTGATGATTCAAATGAGAAAATTAGCGATGTTGAAGGTAAATAATTCTGAAATTTATTAATATTTTGATTTTGATTAGTTTTTGAATGAAATACTAACTTTATAAATTATAGTATATCTTGACGATTTGATTAAATGGGTTAAATCATCTAAGAAAAATAAAGAAATTTTTAGACAAATTGATAATTCAATTTCGTGAGACAGTCATTTTATCAATAAATATTATATTAAAGTTATATTTTGAATCATACTTAATGTGCTTAGTATATGAAATGTATATAATTCAAGACCCATTTTTTATATTTGAGATTCTTATATAAATTTTGGGTAATTTAATCCACATAAAATCGCGCAAAGAATTTACTGACTGACGTAACTAATTTAAGTCATAAATTATATGACGTAACTGTTAAGTCATATCGTGAGTAATGACGTACTTTGAGGAAGGCACTTTTAAAAATTTCAGATATTTAACATTTAATAAATTATATTTTGCAAACTTTAATAATAATAATAAAAATCATTTCGAAAGAAACTTTTAAGAATTATACACTAACCGTTTAAATATACTATTATTTAAAGAATTAAAGAATCATTGGAATTAAAAGTTTTTAAGAAAATCGTAATTAATTTTTTCATTCACAAAATATTGACAGTTTATCATTTTAACTCCTTTAATCTTTAAATGAATTTTTTTCTTTAATGATGTGATGATGAATACTAAATATAGAAATAAAAAAAAGAATGACGAATATTTCGGGAGACCGTTATCACATTTCCCATGAATTTTCTATCTTTAGATTAACATTAAATTAATTAAATTAATACAAAAATAGAATTTAATAATATGATAAATTTATTATGAAATTATATTTTGACAAATACAATTTTTCGCATAAATTTAAATTCAACGCACATCTACATGAGATTGTTTAAATAATTTCATTCATGTTTGAGTTTAGCGAGTTGGGAAAAGAAGAGAGAAAAGTGAAAGATTTTCTTGAAACAATATTAGTTCCAAATTTAAAAATATTTACTATACTAATTCATATTAGTATTTTTTTTGAAAATAGCAGTTCCTTTGACAAAATTTCGTCGATTGTAACGATAAACTATGGTTTAAATATAAACTATTGAAACTATAGTACGAATACCATTTTAGTGAATAAAAGAATTTTTTGAAATGTAAAGTTTGGCAATATTATTTTTAGAATATCAACATCTTTGATTAAAAAAGAAATCGTAATTGGTAAAACTTTTTGATTGTAATATTTTTTGCTTAGTATTATAAATATTCGAAGATGAATTGACTAAATAAAAAATATATTATCACTAGCATCAATAATTTTGTATAAATTAACATGAATTTTTTTCAATTACTTATTTGCTCACAATTTGGATTGTTTGAATTATTCTCTATAAAATTTATTATATTTCTCATCTAATAAAAATTCAAAAATGAAATACAATTTAGTTTTCATCGCTGTTATATTGGCATTTACTGCCTTCGCCTCAGCACAACTTTTACCAACTCTTCCAACCACACCTAGTGGTATACCTACTATTCCTACTGTTGTTACCACTTCCGAGGTCGCTTCCTCAGGAACTCCACCTATAACACCTATCCCTACTGCTGTCACTACCTCTACTGATATCCCTTCTGGATCATCAAGCCCAACTGGAACACCTTCAAGCATCCCAACTGACCCATCGACTGATTCCTCTGATACCCCCAGTGCCTCCAGTTCTCCAACTTCAGACAATGGTGGTGATAGTGATGATGATAGTGATAACGGTGCAGGAAAAACAGCAAACTTAAACGTTTTTGTTATGAGTTTGAGTGCTGCATTGATTGCTGGAATGTTATTAGTTTAAATTGATAAAATTACAATTTTTTATTTGAAACATTAGAACCTTTTTTAATTTTAACTCCATTTAATTTATAATATAAAAGTTTCATTAGAGATTAAATCTTAATATTTTACCAATTAATTTTTGTACGAATTAAAGAAAGAAATCATTATTTGATAGTAATATTAATTCTGGCTTCCTTTTCTTTTAGAAGTAATTTCATTTATCATTTGTTATTTATAATATAATAAAATTAATAAGTTAATAAATTTTGATGCAATAATCACAAATAAATAAATTAGATCACTGAGGATAAATTGAATGTTTTCCAGAATAGAAAGAACGTCCTTTGTCATTTGACAAATGAAAATGATTAAATCATTTAAGATGTATTTCACGTGACAAAGCAACAATGAAAATGACAATTATTATACGCAAGCATTATGTTTGCTTTGAGCCACAAATCTGCGGTTAATTATAAAAACAAATTCATTATAAAGACTTTAAACTGCGAAAACTAACACTCACAATCAATTAATTGTAAACAGGAATGAATTAATACTTCATTATGCAAAAAAATTACAACCGCGGCATGATTGGCGTAGTTTTTTGAGAAAAATATGTATTTAACAATATCATGTATTGTATCATTCTGTATATCATGATTTTCATGAAAATCGCTCTGACTAATAATATTATAAATGATAAAGCACCTTTTTTCTGATTTTTAAATAAAGAAATTCTTATTGATAAGGACAAGTTTGATTAGTGATTTTAAAGTTTATCAAAATTAAGTTAAGTACAGAAATTCAATATCTCACCACCATCACCCCATCAACCCACCAACAGTAATAATAATATAAATTAATTAATTAAAGGAGTTTCCAGTATATTTTTCAAAGATCAGAAAACAATAAATAAACATTATTATTAATGAGAAATACCATTTATGTTAATTGTTTATGTGAGATAAACGTAAAAAAGTGATGTTTGCATAAAGTAAAAATAAGAAATCATTATTAAATTTTATTAGTTATTTTGACTTAAAAATCAGGTCATATTTTTCTTTTCATTTTTTAAAAAAAGATTAGAATCAGCTGTCATTTTTATAGTTCAATAATAATACACGTGCCGACTGATATATTCCAAAAATGAGCAACAAGTAGGGGGGGCGCCTACCCTTGTAAATACTCCTTTTGTATACTTATATATTTGTATCCTGTCATATCCACAATAATAGACTTGGAAGGTGAGTCATAAGTACACGTGATAACAATGCAATAATTCAAGGAATCATCCGAAAAGCCACCGCGGCAAAATATGTCATTCCCGCAGTCTATATATCATACTACTGCGTGAGAAAAAAATATAAAATGCTCGGATCTCTTACTCTGGCGTAAATCAAAATCAAAAATTCTTAAAAATTTAGTATTTTTAGTTTTAATCTGAAGCGCTTGTTTACATGGTAGTATCTCTAAGAGTGAGCTTATATAATAAATACTTCATTTGAACCTTATTTTCTTACCATCATTCTTTTTTTTTCATTCTTTTAATTTTGTTCAAAAAAAAAAAACTATTTATATAATTAAAAAAAATTTATTATCACAAAAAAAAATCATGTGTGAAATATTTACTTCAAACGAAGGTAATTTTGTAAATTTTGTGCTTACTGGACTGATTAGTAGTAACAAATAATAATTATAAATACTAATATTTCTATTCATATTTACGTATAGCTTTTAATGGTGTGAACACTGTTCAAAATGTAATGCTATACGATATCCCAGGATTTACCAAGTCAATTCTTCCTACCAATAATCATCAACCTAATCCACAACAATTATCTAATAATCCTCAGGAATATTTACCGAATACTACAACACATAATGGTGACCAACCTACTTTATCCACAAATTTTCTTGCAAATAATAATAATCAACAAGTGCGTAAGATAATGGTAGAACATCTTGTAGGTTAGTATTAATTATTAATATTATTAAAATATTATTAGTGTGCGTTAATTAATTACATTCTTTTTATTTCTTAAAAAAATAAAAATAAAAAATAGATACTACGAAATTTATTATTGATAGTATTTGGATAAATTTTCCAGTACATTCTACCGCTCAAGTCATTCCACTACGAGTATTTATACAAGAGATTTTACGTAGATCGCGAACTTCATGGTCAACTCTTCAAACAACTTTATTTTATATGGTTAGAGTTAAACCTCAAATTGAATTACTTTGGTCAAATTCGATATCATCCGATCAACGAACGACAAATGATTCAGCTACTTGTGGTCGTCGAATGTTTCTTGCTTCACTTATAGTGGCATCAAAATATCTTCAAGATCGTAATTATTCCAATTATGCTTGGTCAAAAATATGTGGATTGCCTGTACAAGAAATTAATTCTATTGAAAGAAGATTCTTGATGTTAATTGGATACAACCTTTTTATTAGTGAAAATAATTTCAAACATTGGTCTAATTTGTTAAATTCGCATATGATGGCTATCTCAGGATCTACTGAGAATGCTAGTGGTGTAACTTTAAAAAAGGAAGAAAATCAAAATATTACTCAATTCAAACAAATGTTGTGGATGTTACGTCCACAATCTGCAGAATGTTCAGTTCAGTCAGTAAAGGGATAATAATAACTTATGAAAAATTAAATGTTCGTTATTGTTATTTTTACATTTAATTTTCTTATTTGTATGAATTTGATTTTCTAGTAATAATAAAAAAGCATTCATCATTTATTTTATAAGGTCATGTCTTTTTATTCTCTATATATGCAACATTATATGTTAATGTGTAAAATTTAAAAATTTAAATTTATAATTTTAATTTTATCTTTTTACAATTAATTTTTTTTTTTAAAAAAAAAATTATTATTCTGTAAATCGATTATAATTCCTCTTTCACCACTACCCTGATTACCACCAATTAAAAATAAATAAAAAAAGATTTTAAGATCCAATTTGTGTTTAATGTTTAACTATAATTATCTTTTTTTACTGATTATTTACTTGGCATGCATACATAAGACATATACGAAATATTTATACATAACAAAACTTTATTCAAATTATCCAATGAAAGTATGCAATATAACTGTAATATATCTAATATATATATATATTTGCATGAATCACCTGATATTATACCTTATGAACTTTGTTGTGGAAATGTAATCAGGTTATTAATGAATAGCCCACAATTTTTATTAACTAGAAAATCAAGAAATTTTGTTCAATTTTATTTAACGTTACCTTATACTGAAAAATGATTGGTTAATTAGTTATATATTAATTAAACTTAATACAGTTAATATATCCCTGATTTCAATGAAATGAAAAAAAAAAATAAATAAAGTAAATTAATATATTAAGAAAGAGAAATATGATAACGTATTCTTTTATTCTTTTATTTCTTATTGACATCACATTTATTATGAAACCAAAAGCGGGGGAAGAGGGTGCATAAATGTATCAATTGTTTAATTATGGTTAATCATTTAATAATTAATTCACGTAGATTTAATAACTACTGTTCTCCAAAGTTACAGTATTTAAAACTTTACATTTTTATCTTTCATAGAATGACCAAATTTATGCAAAAAATTTCATGCAAAATATCGGAGAATTTATTTGCATATTCCACGTGCAGGTTTGATATGAAAATTTGATATGGAGTTCGAGTTCAGCCGTCCGTTTTTCATTAATATATATTGTATTTTTTTTAATACTTGTTAAGAATGACTGCGCTAATATAAATCCAAATATAGATGTTGCATTAAAATATAAAACGTTAAATAACAAATTTTTAATTAGAATTTATGGTAAATGATTACAAAACAATGATTACATTGATGATTACAGATACGGCTGTTTTTTTTTTGATATTTATTTTTTATATTATATCCTGTAACAAAGAATTAAATAACATGTGATTAATAAAAAAAAAACAGATCACACATCTGCATAACTATTTTTTAGTTCTTTTTTTCTTGAATATATATATAGAAAAAATATAATGTCACGTTTACTTATTTCAGAGTTATACAATGTTCTTATCAATTTTGTTTTCAATAAATTAAATAATTTAATTCACTAACTTGATTTCTTTTTAAATAGTTCTTTCATTAAACAAAAAAGAAAAGGATTATTTGTATATATATGCTGTATTATTTTTTATTTGTTTGAGATATCATTCATAATTTGCACAAATGAACGCGCATATTTTGGATGTTTTTTTACTTTATCGAGTATTGTTTAAAATAAAATAACTCTATTCCTCACTTTATCAAATATTTTTACATTGTTTATCACTGCATATATAGAAATTCAACCATCATCATCATATAATCAATAAAACATGCCCGAAAGAAAGTTTTCTAAAAATGAACCTAAACAACAACAAGATTTGATAGAGAATTTAAGAAGAAATATCGGAATCAGGCAAAAAAGACAAAATGATCAAACATCCCAAATACCAACAAAGATACAATCACAGATGTCACAACAGATATCACTACCTTCACCTCTACCCCCACTGCCACCACCACCACCAATACCGCCGCGGATATTATCATCAAAAAAAACCGCTATGAATCCTGTGGAATATTTGGAATACGTTGCGGCTCGAGAAGAATTTACTCCTCATGCTTTATCAGCTACCACTTCTATTTCCAATATTACTAATACTACTACTACTACTATTACTACTACTTCTACCACTTCTTCTTCTATCGAGCCTATTAATTTATCTTCGATAAATAATTATCCACATAAATTACAACAGAAACAACAACAAAAAGAAGGATTTTCTACTTCAAAAACAAAATTTTTAACTTCCCCTTCTTTTCATGTTGCTGGCAACATTGATAACATTGATAACATTGATAACATTGATAACATTGATAACATTTATAACAATGATAACACTCAAGAACAACAACAATATTACAAACAACATTACAACAATATCGCATCCTCATCAAAGACTAATAATATATACCCATCTGAGATATCTCCTTCTTTACAAGAACATTTTAATAGAATTCCATATTCAGATGATTATATGTTACCAAAAAAAAGAAATTCTTTACCTTTATCACCTTTGGATGAAGTGAAAAATCAAATTGTAGACTTACAACTTAATTCATCACCACCACCATTACCACAAAAAGTAATACCACAGGAAAGAATTACGATTACACAAGGAGCAATACCACATGGAGGAATATCACAAAGAATAATTCCACAAGAAATATCAATATTACAACAACAAAAACAAAAACAAAAGCAAAAAATGCCAATTTACCAATATGATAGATCAAAAGAAAATAATAATGATTTAATTCCTCCTAATATTTTGACCCAATTACAATCACCATCATCACCAACAAGTAATAAAAATAATAATTCAACAATAATAATAAGTAGAGTAAATACTCCAAGTACTTCAACTTTATCAGGATTAACAAAAAATATATCAAGACATTCTTCACCAAAATTTGAATCCGTTCCAAGAATTCTAACTGGTTTTACTGCTCAAGTACAAAGTAGTGATTCTCCTTTAAGACAAGAATTTCGAAATTCAATAAAGAAACTCACCACAACAAAGAACAATTATAATAATGGTGACGGCGACAACGATGATGACATTGTAGATTATGATTATTATTTTCTAAATCCTAATAATAATAATAATAATGATAATAATAATAATAATAATAATAATAATAATAATAATAATAATAATAATAATAATAATAATAATAATAATA